AGCCTATTACTGAAGCCTGCCCAACTATACGCTCCCAACGATTCCAGTTAAAATACAGTGCAAGGGTTTACTGGAAGTGACTGAGAATATCGCGTTGACTAATGGAGAACCACTCCAAACCATTGGGGATGTGCAATCTAGATTATGCGGAATGGAATTTACGAGCGCAGATGATCGTGGCTTTGTGAACGTCCATTCCACTAGACCGATCCATTTCGGGTTAATAACGCTAGGCTACCTGTGTATAACATACGACCGACGGAGTACACACAAAACGTGAATGTATGTAATCTTCGTCTAACTTTGCACTTCTTTTTCCTAAAACAATCTTTCAAACTCAAATCTTAGAAGATCCTCAAGCAAGTCCCCTCATGTGATAGCTTCAGAGTAGACGGAGATATCCGTTAGTCAGTAACTGCTGTCTAGAAACTGAGAAAAAATTCCTCATACACCGAACACTGTCTAGTACGTTTCAACACAATATCGCTGGATTAAACGGGATTGGTCAACACACAGGCATAGCCAACAGAATTGTCCCAACCTAGAGAGAGCGCACTGAAAAGAAAATGGCTAACATGGACATGCATTTCAACAAATACCGACGACTTAATACAGATAGGGAATGAGAAGAGTGCGTATCGCTAGATGAACCAATCAAAAAAACGGTGGTAATTAAAATCATTGTCACTGTGATCCTCAACGTTCAGTTTTCCCATCCCAACCTTCCTGAGCGCTAAGGTCAGTGGTACGACTCTACCAACCCCGAAAGCAAGCAGATAATCAGCGGTATCACCCAACTGCCATCGAAACAGTAATTCATAAATCATGCCAATATTTCGGCAAAAACCCTGGAAGCGAGAACAGTGACTTCTTTACCGAACGTCTTAAAAAGAAAATACCGTCTCACTGCCTCTTCATCCATTAATCAAACCGTTGTTTGAAGTGTCTCAATGGTTTTCTCGACTAAACAAGCAGTCAAGTGGACAGTTAAAGTCGGTACCGATTTCGTGGAAACGAATGGTAAATGGAAACCTAAAAAATGAAGAGAGAACTTGAGCAAAGATTACATAAACGGAAGCACCTGGGTAAATCCAATTGTCGTTTGCGCTGACAATCAAGGAGGCGCTCCAATACGAGTCGGCAACAACTAATCTGAATGTAAGCTCCGCTAATACTAACACGCATGCATGAGCAAACATTGGGACTGCGGTCACCTGGATGTTAGTTCACACCGGGGTTCAGTTGAAGACTTGTTCGCTAACGAACGAGGCCAAACTATACAAGCCAATCGAGAGACGGGAACAACTACCCTGCATGTTAACTTTTCCTGACCAGGTATTATTGTTCGAAATGAGAAGAAATATGTGAGAACCATTGATGCAAAGCAGTCAAATATCCCAAATGACATTTCATATAGATAGCCCATGCATATTTATTTGTTATTGTTTGATTGACGAAGTCCGTAATAATGCACCTTTTCCCATTTGTAATTAGTGGTAGTTCGGTAGATCACATTTTCTAATTGTCTCTAATCAAAAGATAAAAGTTTCCTATGTTCGGTCCCGTGAAATTTCCGGCAAACAATGGAACAGAAGGGCAAAGTGAACTCAACGTCCTGTATTATTTGAGCACCATCAACGATGTAAATCAAAATACCAGAATAATGATAGCCCAAATGAACAGCAAGAACACTGTGCCTTAAGACCCCTATCGGGTAACCACACTTTGTCAATTCACTTCACAGGTTGCACAACGAAGCGCATCAGTGGTCTAAAAAGAGCTGCTTATGGGGTACATCAGCTACATTTGCTATTAAACACTAATTACCCTTTAAAGCGGATTTATCAAAACTCTCTGCGGTCCAAAGTGTCTTTTTGATATTTAATTTCATCAAATAACTCTTATTTTTGGTGTCCTGACTCCGTGATTAGGTGCGTTCTAATCAGTGCGCAAAATGTGTTGAAGTTCATGGCGAGATAGTAAATACGTGTAAAAATATATGGTTAGTAAGGGATTAGATCGGGCACAAGATGGAAAAGTAAATACAGCATGTTCCGCAATGTAGCTCATTGGAACCGGCTAGTAGCCCGCTATTAGCCGTATAAGCCCAAGTGTAAGTGCAAATTGACAGCTTGCCTATTGAAAGCAACTGGTCGCTTTCAATACCCTCAAAGTCAGGAATTCTAACTAAATGGCGGGAGGTTCATCTCCCTAGTTAGACTGGCATTCAATATCTGACACACAGGAAGTAATGTATACATTTACACATCTATAAAACTGGTCCTACTCTAGTATCTCACAGTTACCAAAGTTGAAGAGTTGGTAAAGCACACACGACAGTCCTTATATTGAACTTTACAACGTAGTAATAAACGGTCGAATACGACGGCGATCGTAAGCCCTGAACTTGAGCGCAAGGCGTCGTAACTGTAAAATTTGAAAAAAAAACGGGTACACATTCCGACAAAACTGGGCTCATGTCCTCTTGCGGTTCTAACCTCAGTTTTAGATAGTAACAGTTTTCTGAGCGTTCCTAAACAGATTTGTGGTCGAACTAAGAGTAACGGAATCATCGATGAACTCAAGAGCAACCTAGATGTGGGTGCTCCTAGCCGTGCAACACAATTTTTCGTGTCCCAATATCACAATGTTACGCGTGAAACACTAAAAAACCAGTAAATCTTCAAATCGGTGTAGTTTTTGCGATCGACGCAGAAATATACAGGCACATCCTCCACATTGAATTACGTCAATACGACTGAGCTAGTTTTGTCAGCTCAACCCGCACTGTATGAAACTCGTTTCGAAACAACTAACATGTACAAAACTGTGCTCTTTTCGAATTATTTTCATACGGTTAGTCTTTACTGCTTCGATTTTGGTCATAATGCGCATAAGCTCAACCACAAACGGCACAAAAGACCTACCGCTGTTTGAGGTTTACCGGATAACCGATAATTCCACAGGGTGAATTAATGGACACGTGGACAGGAACAGCACCCGGACCACAACCTCCAGCCTGTAAAATGACATCCAAACATCGTCGATATCGCCCGACTCAACGAACTGTGCTCACTTCATGTACAAATCGGTCCGGGCACCAAAATATGCAGTCGGGTCAACGGACGTGCCTATTGAACCACACCCAACCCCTATGCCCCTTTCGGTTTGCCACTTCTGCTATTATCAGTATGCAAGTTAGTCATCCTGTCATAATAACTAACTGTTGCTACCATACGTTGCTGCATCGACTTTGTAGGATGACGCTGAAGCCAACGTGCAAATGTGTCATGTCGTAAGAGCCCTGAGCCATATTGCACATGGGTCGTTTAAGAACACGTTTGGTTCATTTCATCTCAAGCCCTATGCACTGTTTGAGCAAGATACCTCACTGAGGCACGAAGATCAAATCAATCCGTGTCCAGAGCACATAGCTGCNCCCAATGTACTTTTATACACACGGTGTGATGTTATGTCGAAGTCAGAATGAATTTAACACGAATTGCTCCGTTTGCGAAACAGTTCAACTGAGATCTGGTGATTATTATAGAGAAGACTGGATGAGCAACCCAGATTGGCAGGGTTGCAAAGGCATGCCAGCGACAAAGCCACGTCACAAACAGGCTTATGTTGAAAGCTGAACGTTTGTCACCTCGGCGTTTTGTTCAGGTACTTAACAAGCGAGGATAGCAACGAAGCGTTGTCACAGCGCGGCATGTTCCTCTCATAAGCCAGGTGATTCACAGGACAGCAAACACCGCCCTTTGTGA